TTATCCAGATATGGGGAAGTTTTGCAAAAAAAATATCTGGGTGCAATTTTTGCCGGATAACCCAAATATTCGGATCAGTTGGTTTCTGGTAAGTGAGCTCATACGGTACCTGCGGTGCTCCCTCTTCGGTGGTATGTGCCCAGTGTTTCCTTTTCTGTGGATAGTTACCTACAGGGAGCCACAAAGGGCTCCTCTCCAGAAAACCAGCATTGAATGTTAGTAAAGTATATGAATGTAAGTCAGAAAATAACATGATGTTTAACAGTGATAAATTCCAGGTACTCAGGTACGGTAAAAATGAGGACCTTAAACATAATACAGAGTACAAAACACAATCAAATGTACCCATAGTAGGAAAACAGCATGTAAAGGATTTGGGAATAATAATGTCTGACGACCTAACGTTTAAGGAGCATAACCAAGCAAATATTGCGACAGCCAGAAAAATGATAGGATGGATTACGAGAACTTTTAAATCCAGGGATCCCATCACAATGATTGTACTCTTCAAGTCACTTGTGTTGTCCCGTCTCGAGTACTGCTCAGTACTCACTTCCCCCTTCAGAGCAGGAGAGATTGCTGAAATAGAGGGAATACAGAGAACATATACGACACGCATAGACGCAATAAAACACCTAAATTATTGGGATCGTCTCAAAGCCCTCCAAATGTACTCACTAGAAAGAAGACGAGAGAGATATCAAATAATATACACCTGGAAGATACTGGAGGGCCAAGTACCAAATCTACACAGTAAAATAACAACGTACTGGAGTGAACGATATGGAAAAAAATGCAGAATAGAACCAGTGAAGAGCAGAGGTGCCATAGGCACAATCAGAAAACACTGTATAAACATCAGGGGTCCCCGGTTGTTCAACGTCCTCCCAGCAAGCATAAGAAATATTGCCGGAACAACCGTGGACATCTTCAAGAGGAAACTAGATTTATTCCTCCAAGGAGTGCCGGACCAACCGGGCTGTGGTGGGTATATGGGCCTGCGGGCCGCTCCAAGCAACAGCCTAGTGGACCAAACTCTCACAAGTCAAGCCTGGCCTCGGGCCGGGCTTGGGGAGTAGAATAACTCAAAGAACCCCATCAACCAGATATCAACCAGGAATGTAATGAACTGTTAATTTCTGGGTTGAGCCCCGGTGACTTCCTCACACCCGTCCTTTCCCAGGTCATCAGGGGGGGGGGGTGCTTGCATCATCATAGAACTGAGGGTGGCATTTCTGGCTGACTGCTGGTGGCTTCCCTCCTCCCCCCAAATGAGTTGGGGAGGTGGGACAAAGAACTGGTGCTAGTTTCGTGAATTTTCTATTGTGTGTTTATGTAGTTTGGAGAGTTCTTTTCTTGGTTCTTGAGGTAGCAGTTTCATTTGAAGCCAGCAGTGGTTTGTTTTGTTTCACTGACATTCTGGGTACCTTTTCTGGTGGGTGGTATAAATGAATAACTTAATAAATAAAGCCACCTCACTCTGTGCTTCTATGAGGGGGGCCAGGTGTGGCTCTGATTCCTGGTAGGCCAATAGAACTGTGTGACAGGTGGGACCTAGTAGTATGGCACACTGTCGGATAGCAGCTTCAGGGAGCCACTGGGGCTCACCCTGAAACTGGCATTTCATTACATCAGTGTTGGTTTTTTGTTTTAAGTCTTGCATCATGACACCTTCCAAGTGTTCTTCGTTTTACTAGTTACTGACATGTGGCTGGAAAGAGGTGGGGTATATTTATTATTAATTTTTCCTATAAATGTACTTTATAGTTAAGGATAACTTTGCACAAATTTGCTCTTGGTGATTTTCCAAGATTTAATGACTGGTGCAGATCATTGGCTGTTGTAAAGAAAATTTGAGACTTTAAGTTAAGGTAGTTTAAATGTGTTAGTAAGTATATTGACTTAATTACTTGACTGAAATAAGGGAAAAGAAACTCTTGGGGCTCTGACTAGCCATGGGTCTGACCAGTTCTTGGCTGTACACTGCTCAAAATGTCACCACACCAATAGAGAGGAATCCAAAATACTTTTTCTCCTATACAAGAGCTAGAACAAAAACTTCATCTAGCACTGGATACTTGGGCAAGAGTGACATAACCTTCACAGATGACAACAACAAAATGAGTGAAACACTGAGGTTACAGTAGGATTCTGTTTTCAATGAACCCATGAACACATTGTAGATTAATGTTCCTAACTACTTTTTTATGACTGCAACACCACCATCGAGCCATATATCAGATGTTACTCTAACCCCATTTGATTTTGAAGTAGCCATAAACAGCATGTCCATGCACTCTGCACCAGGACCAGACTCCTGGAATTCTATATTCATTTAACACTTTCGCGCTCTCGGCGCTCAAAAAAAAACAATACCCCAGATGCTTTCGGCACTTCGCGCGCCTACGTGGTAAGACCGAAAAAGTGTACACTCTTTTGACTGTCCTGACAAGAATTGATGGCGCACGTATTTAAATTTGGTGTCACTGTGTTCGCAATAAAATTGTCTATAAGAGCATACCTATAAAATGCCGCCCAAGCATAAGGAGTATCAACACCAAATCAAAAACTATGCAGATCACTCGCCGAGAGCGCCAAACAGCAACAAAATGTTTCCACTCTCTTAATGGTTGCGAAGCCTACAGTTGTCCTACATCGCTAATTTTGGTATCATTGGAATCGCAATAAAATTCTCTACTCGGACATATGCATGTGAATGTTTAATATAGGTAATTGCCCACCCGCAAGAGTGTGTGAAGTGGAGAGTAGTTAGCCGCGAGCGCACTGGCGAAAACACAGGGGGGAAATCATGCTTGGAAAGTTTATACGTTTCCTGACCCTACTTTTCTATGTACGTATTTCTTTTTTATACCAATGTGTTCGCAATAAAATTTTCTATAAGATGAACTGTATAACATTTGTACAAAGCATGTGTAAGAGAAGCGCCAAATATAGAACCACGTCGCTCAGTATGCGTTCGCGGCAGAAACGAACGCATTGTTTTCGTTCGTTTGATGTTTGTCATGTTTATACTTGTTGAAACATTTTATAATTTGTATGACAGTGATCGCAGTAAAATTCTCTACACAGACATATACATAACACATACAAATATTTCCCATGTGTTGGATATATCAACGGCTAAAGGGAACCCACTGCCACACGCTCGCCACACCCCCAAACATACTTTGTGTATTTTTTTTTTTACTCATAGAAGTTTATGTGATATAATATTCATTCTGGTACCAAAAAATTTGCAAATAAATTCTCTACAAAACAAAAGTATCCCCATCCATTTCGGTTAAAAAATGGAATTTATAGAAATATTTTTTCAATTGACGAGAAAAGTAGGCTGTTATGCGGAATCGTAAGAAAAACCAGTGACGAGTTATCTCTAATCGAAAGCGCGAAAGTGTTAACATCACATATACTTAAAATCTTTGAAAGATTGCTAAGAAGTAAGATTACAAAAAACACATGGAATTAGTGTCTACATAACCCTTTGAAACATGGGTTCAAAACAGGACATGCCAGCCCCTCTCAATTGCTAGACCACTATGACATTGCCGTTGATGCCATGGAAGACAAAACACTTGATGTAATATACCCAGATTTCACAAAAGCCCTCGACAAATGTGACCATGGTGTTAATACACACAAAATGCACACAAAAGAAATTACTGGCAAAGTAAGGCAATGAATCTTTAACTTCCTAACAAACAATGCAGACAAACAATACAAACAATATTCAACAAAGTAAAATCTGAATCATCCACTATGAAAAGCTCAGTTCCCCAAGGTACCATGCTTGCTCCTCATGTCAGACATAGACAAGGATACAAACTGTAGTACCATATCATCCGTTACAGATGACACTAGAATTGTCATGAGAATAAACAGAGGACACAGTAAACCTCTAAACTGATGTTAATCAAGTCTTTCAATGGGCCACAGAAAATAATATGATGTTAAATGAGGATATGTTCAATTACTGCACCATGGGAAAAAACTAACCCATCAAAGCAGAAACCACACATAAAATGTAGTCAAAGCACACTATTGAAAGAAAAAGCAATGTAAAAGATTTAGGAGTAATCATGTTGGAAGACCTTTTAAAGAACACAACAAAGTTGCTGTCACAGCTGCAATAATAGCAAGAACCTTCATAACAAGAGATGACATGCTAATTTCTTTTTACGATATTAATGCTCTCTAGAGTGGAATATTGTTGGACAATGACAGTTCCATTCAAAGCTGGAGAAATTACTAACCTGGAGAATGTGCAAAGATCCTTTACCTCTAGAATTCACTCAAGGAAACATCTAAATTATTGAGACTGCCTAAAAACTTTAAATCTGTATTCCTGGGAGCACAAGTGTGAGTGATACTAGAAAATATTAGAAGGACTGGTTCAAAATCTGCACACAGAATACCACACGAGACCAGAATGCATGGCAGGATGTGCAAAATAGCCCCACTGAAGAGAAGAGGTGCAATAGGCATACTGGAAGAGAACTCGATTAACATCAGAGGCCCAAGACTTTTCAACACCCTTTTTCCCCACACACACACACACAAAGGGCATAACTGGCTGACCTCTCACAGTGTTGAAAAAGAACCCGTCAAGCATCTTCAAAGGATACCTGATCAACCAAGATGTGACTCATATGTCAGGCTGCGAGAAGCCACATCAAACAGCCTGGTTGGATCAGACCAGCAACAGGAAGCTGGTCAGAGACCGGGCCATGGCAACATTAACCCCCGAAATCTTCAACAGGTAACAGGTACCTAGTACAGTAATACACTAAAATGTGTGACTTGGGTCAGAGTTTGGTATTTTTATCACATGCTATAATGAATGATCTGTAGAATATAGGTGAATAAAACATTTAAGAGTTTTGCATTCTAAGAACTTGCAAGTGATAAAATGCTTTTGAGGTAAGATAAATTAAGTTGTCCTTCCCTAGCTTATTATAGTAATGACCATTTGTTTCTTGTAGCCATGATGGGGATCCTCCTGGAAAGAAAAGAAAGATGACTGATGGAATAGAAGATGCCGTGACGGGAGCAAAAGTGTTCGTGCTTCCTTCAGGCTCGGTACCGATCAATCCACATATTACACTGATGGTTGACACCATCAAGCCACTCATCTGTCAGCTTGTGGAAGAAGCTAATCTGGTAATTAGGTATCTCCATTAGGGATACTGTATGATTTTTATCTAAATGTACACACAGCAATTACAGTAGTATGATACATCAAATGAATAAATCCACAAGGGCTGTGATGTGGGATCATCCTGGATGTAAGTTCGAACCCTCATCACGACCCTTATGGATTTGTTTATCTAAATGTCTTTGCATATTGGCTTGAAACCCTTATTATGATTAACCCTTTGGCTGCACTAGGCAATAATGAACAACACAAGGAAAATGGATTTACAATGTAATAAGTGACCCTCTTCTGCTTGACAGAAGGAGGTTTCCAAATATGAAATTTTCAACCATGTCTTCTGATATTTAAAGAGGTTGCTGGACTCTGTAAATGATGTCATCAACTGGCAACAGATTCAGATGTTTCCGTTTTAGTAGCACCAAAAATTACCACTTTATTTTCTTCATGTTCGCTCACTTACACTTCACATCTTGCACTTATGAAAAGACATAACTTGTTATATCATAAAGCATATTTATTAAAAAATATACAGATATGAAAATAATTCATTAAATTTCTACTGATTTTATCTTCATATTTATCATTAGTTATATAGCACTTCTAATGATGACCAAGTCTTGAATGGAAAGCAGGTACAGTACTAGTATTCCCAATGGATCTAGATTGACAGCATGGGATGACATTGTCTTCTCTTGCTGCCAAATGACAGCAGGTATTGGGCCCTAACTCCTGTTCTGAAAGCAAGGTGTCTGGATATAGTACTGTACAGGATTTAAAACTTAAAGGCATTTGGCAAGTATCGCTTATTGCAGTGAAAGACTATTTTCTGGAGGAGGAAATGGTGGCTCCCTGTAACTAGCTGCACTGAGACAGCTCCATACATACAAGTCTCATCAGTTACAAAAATTCTTAATATCCTACAAGAGACCAGAGGCAGAACCTGGCCCCATCACAGAGATGATAAAGGTAGCAGGGAATTCTTTATGATCACCTCCAAAGGAGGAAGAATCCAACTGGAAGTTCCCATTTCAACATTAGTCAGTTCTTCACCTGATTCCACCTGTGTGGACCATTCCTTGAGTTGCCAAGACTCTTCCCAACTATTTCTAGGTAAATGTTGGCCATTCTTTGGACTCTGCTTCATGTATGTGTATTACAAGCCTCAATTGTTGTGTGAACTTAGGAAACTGTTAAATAACTGTTCCTAAATAAATTGGGAAACTGTTCACTTCGAACTATCTTCTTGACCATTAATCTTCACATGAGCTGTTACTGGTCCCTGTAAACTTGCTTGTCACTTCAGAAATGAGTTGGCATATTGGTGATGTTGATTCATAATATTTACAGATCAAAGAGTACAGTCTATGATGAATGATTTGTCTTTCTTATTCTATCCATCATTCCGGCTTCCGTACGCACACATGCGCGCACACAGACACGGGGCCTCTCGGCTGAGTGGATAGCGTTCTCGGGGGGTCGTAGCCCTAAGGGCTCAGGTTCGATTCCCGGCCGAGGCGGAAACAAATGGCAGAGTTTCTTTCACCCTGATGCCCCAAGTCCCGAAATCCTCTCAAGATAACCAAGACCCCATTTACACCTCATTAATGGATCCAGCTTCCTTTGAGTTCAGTTCTTCTTCTCCATACTGGGTGCGTTTCGAGGTTCCGGAGTCTTCCTGGCTGGCAGACTGCCCTTTCTTTTCCTTGAGAGCTTGGCGTGGGTTTTGCCGAACCCGCATGCTTGAGTGGAAAGAGGTTTCCTCAGTGTTGCTGGTGTTCTCTGGGGCTCATTGGTGCTGCTTAATGTGTGCCTCTTCGCCCCTGTGCTTTCCCGTGATATGGATCTGGAGCAGTTACACACTCAAGTCCCCTTTCTTTCGACTGCCATGGTGGCAAATGACCACATTGAACTGGGGGGGGGGGGGGTCATTTGGTTTCGGTTTTGCGCTTGTTTGGTCTTTTTGAGCTGCCCTCGGATTGGCTTTCGGAGGTTGTGGAGGCTTTGAGTAGGGGACCTTCAGCCAGAGTTCTAGTTTTAGCTGCTGAGGCGTCAACTGCCTTGTTGAAGCTGTTTGCGCTGATCCTCCTGGTAGCAGTTTCTATGTTTTTGCCTCTCGTCTTGCATGTCGGTAGGTCATCCTCGCGCTCTCTTTCAATTCTGCTTGGGCCCTGGCTTTATAATTTTTGTCTCCGTTATTTCTGGAGGACTGTGTTACTCGGTTTTTGTCGGTGGATTCTACCAGTTGCAGATCAGAAACAGGGCATCCGCCCTGTTTCTGATTTGTTGGTGCTTTGGAGAAGGGGGGGGGGGGTGGGCGTGTTCGCTGTCCCAGGGTGGTTGTGTCAGGGCTCCGGTTTCATTAGGTCGAGGTGGGCCTTTGGTGCCAGTTTCCAAGCCAGTGCATCCTCCGGGACCTTCTTCATTTGGTCGACGCGGTGGTCGCTTAGGGCGGAAGTTGGCTCCTTGGAGATCGCATCGGTCCTACCTGGTGAATTGGGGAAAGTCCTGTTTGGTTCCATCTCGGGTTTAGACTTGGCTGGGCCTCATGTGGAATTTTCGGACTGTGTCCATTTCTCTTCATCCTGCAGCTTTGCTATGGCTGCAGTCCCGCCGTCTGATGTTGTTGAGGGGGACCAAGGAATTCCTGAAACCGACATTCTCAAGAACAAGAGATCATAGATTGAAGCTAAGGAAACAAAGGTGCCGAAAAATTATTAGAAAGTTCACTTTTGTAACCAGAGTGGTAGACAGTTAGAACAAGTTAAGTGAGAAAGTTGTGGAGGCCAAAACCATCAGTAGTTTCAAAGTGTTAAATAACAAAGAGTACTGGGAAGACGGGACACCATGAGCGTAGCTCTCATCCTGTAATTACACTTAGGTAATTACACACTCACACTCTTACTTACTCACAATCTCTCATCTATATTCATTTAAATTTTTGTTTGTTATACTGTAAATGTGAAATATTAAAAGTGTTCTTATTTGTACTTCTCAGCTGAAAATGTGGATATCCTTCTTGATTCCTAAAATTGAAGATGGAAATAATTTTGGCGTAAGCATCCAAGAGGAAACCTTGGGAGAGATACGTACAGTAGAGTCTGAGGCGGCCTCCTTCTTTGACCAGATATCACGCTATTATATGACCCGGGCAAAGCTTGTATCAAAGGTAAGTTTAACTATTAGAACTTGTCTTTCTGTTCATTGTTTGCATCGATAATTATATATATAAAGCACACACTAATATAGGTGCACTCGCACAGTAATTAATATGGATGCACTCACATTAATTAATATTGGTGCATTCTAATTAATATAGGTGTACTCACAATAATTAATATAGGTGCACTCAGTAATTTTTTTTTTTTTTTTTTTTTTTTTTTTTTTTTTTTTGAGATATATACAAGTGTTGTTACATTCTTGTACAGCCACTAGTACGCGTAGCGTTTCGGGCAAGTCCTTAATCCTATGGTCCCTGGAATACGATCCCTTGCCGCGAAGAATCGTTTTTTCATCCAAGTACACATTTTACTGTTGCGTTAAACAGAGGCTACAGTTAAGGAATTGCGCCCAGTAAATCCTCCCCGGCCAGGATACGAATTAACATAGGTGCACTCAGTAATTAATATAGGTGCACTCAGTAATTAGTATAGGTGCACTCAGTAATTAATATAGGTGCACTCAGTAATTAATATAGGTGCACTCAGTAATTAATATAGGTGCACTCAGTAATTAATATAGGTGCACTCAGTAATTAATATAGGTGCACTCACACATCAATTAATATAGGTGCACTCACACATTAATATAGGTGCACTCACACATCAATTAATATAGGTGCACTCACATTAATTAATATAGGTGCACTCACATTAATTAATATAGGTGCACTCAGTAATTAATATAGGTGCACTCTCACAATAATATAGATGTATTTACCTTAACCCTTGCACTGCGCACCTGTTTTTGGCAAAAACGTCATAGTGCAATTGTTAAGAACATATTTTTGTTGCTTTTATAAATGTTCAGTACAATTTCCTCAAATTGTGAGTGTGCTCTTCTAATGATCTCCCCAAAACAATTGTGCTATTGAGATACAGTAGTACTGTTGGACTTACAATACACTCATCATTAACCTGCTGAACACAGCAGGAGCTGACTTGAATCCAAAAGGATGTAGTTTGTGCTGCCAGAGCTCACTTCAAGCACTGAAAGCAATAATTCATTGAGACTTTCTCAAGCAGTATCTTGTGATACCCACTGAGCAGATTTAATGTGGTAAAGAACTGAGTGCCCTTTAGATGTGTCCACGTGTCCTGTATGTTGGGTAATGGGTACAATTTATCCTCCGTCAGTTTGTTTATGCTTCAGAAATCCACACACAACCTAACTCCTCATTTTTCTTGTCCTGACGACAACGAGAGGACTGTGCCACGGTGAATTTGATGGTTCTATATGATGTCATAATCCCTAAGCTTACTCATCTCTTTCTTCACTTTCCTCTGATGTGCAGGTATACTACAAGCTTGAGTGTATACATGATATGTGCATCTACATTAATCCTATGTGATTCCTGAGCAGCCTGGAGGTTCCCCCTTGAATGGTAACACAGCTGGAAACTCTGACCAAAACCCCTTAAGGTTTCCTTAGCACCCGTTTCCATGGATATTCAATTACTACACTCATTAGCTTGTTCATTGTCCTCACTGCCAACTTCCTGACTTAATTACATAATTGCAATAATTTCTTCTTTGGGATGAGCCCAAGGTACATGTGCATGCCTAGTCAACGTGACTGGACTTTGAGGGGTTGAAGATCCTGAGACAGATTTCTTGGAGTCTTCAACAGTCTTCTTTAGCACCAGCCCATCTGGATGATCTAATGGCTCAATTTGCACAATGACCTTAGCATTACATGCCATTTTAATGACCAATGATGCTTTTTCTGGAATTGTGACATCATTTAGGACTGTATCTGCCCATTGTTTTTACAGTAGAGCTACACACTTTACCCCCTCACTACTGCTTCTTCTTTCAGGTTCTCTCCGTCTAAGACTTGTGCTATGACTTTTACTCGGAAGCGTGTCATTCTCAGTCCCTCTTTGTCATTTTATGATCATCCCCTTGTTTACAAGGATTCCGCTAAGTTTCTGGGGTTCTGGGATTCCGCTAAGTTTAACACTCGTTTGTCTTGGTCGGCCTATACTGTATCTCTTACCTCCGCGATGAATGCTCTAAGGCCCTTTCCCTCCTTAAGGTTTTGTTCCATACTTCTTGGGGGGCGGATAGGCGTACGCTCCTCTTTACATTCCTCACTCGTTCTGTCTAAACTCGATTATGGTTGCCCTGCTTACTCGTCCGCTTCTCCTTCTACTCTTCGTCGTCTTGATGCTTTGCACCATGCTGGGTTGCGCCTCAGCTCTGGTGCCTTTTGTTCAATTCCCGCCCTCAGCTTGTATGTTGACACTGGCTTCCTATCTCTCCAGGACCGCCGTGATCGCTACTGTCTTCGCTATCTTGCGCGGTCCTTGCAACATCCTTCCTCTCACCTCTGTCGTGCCTTGACTTTTACCCCTCCTGTAGTTCCTGTTCCTCTTCACTACCTCCCTCTTTCTGTCCGGTTATCTCGCTTACAGGACTCTTTCCATTCGTCTTTCTCATATTTCTCCTCGTATTGTTCCTTCATTGCCCCCGTGGAGGGTCCTCCTTCCGAAGTTTTGTACATCCTTTACCCACGTTACTAATTTTATTCGTCTTACGGTTCTGAAGCACCTTTTTCTTGAGCACTTATCTTCACACTCCTGCTCTGTTTCACATCTTCACCGATGAGTCTAAGTCTGCGGATGGTGTGGGCTACTCTGTTGTTTTTCCTGACTACACTTATGTGTGTCGCCTCCCTTTGGAGACTAGCATCTTCACAGTGAAACTTTATGCTATTCTCTGTCTCCTGCTTTCTCGTTGTCAATCCTCCTTTGTGATTGTAGTTGACTCTCGTAGTGCCCTCGTGGCTCTCAGGCCCTTTAATCCTGTCCATCAAGTGGTCGTCGAGATTCAACATTGCTGTTTCTTATCTCTAGTAAATTTAAATCTGTAGAGTTTTATTGGGTTCCCAGCCATATTGGTGTTTCTTTAAATGAGCGTGCGGATGCTGCCGCAAGAGAGGCTATCCGCTCTTGTCCCATTTCCCGTAAAGGTATTCCTTTTTCCGACTTTTACCCGGTTATTCATTCCTCCATCCTTGCCTGTTGGCAGGGTTGTTGGTCTTCTGTTGTTGGTAACAAGCTGCGTACTCTTAAGCGTTGTGTGTCCCTGTGGCCTTCCTCCTGCCACCGTAACCGGCGGTGGGAAACGGCTCTAGCAAGGTTGCGTCTTGGCCATACTCGCTTAACTCATGGACACTTAATGGAGCGCTGCCCAGCTCCTTATTGTACAAATTGCATTCTCCCTCTTACCGTCGTGCATATCCTTGTTGAATGTCCCGACTTTCAGGACGAGTGTGTGTCTTGCTTTCCAACCGTCCCTCGTGGTCACTTGTCCCTGGATAGAATTCTTGATGAATCGGATACTTTTGATATCGTTCGCCTTATGCCGATAAGCCGGTGGCTGAGCGGACAGAACACTGGACGCATGATCATATGGTCCCGGGTTCGATCCCGGGCGCTGGCGAGAAACATTGGGCAGAGTTTCTTTCACCCTGATGCCCCTGTTACCTAATAGTAAATAGGTACCTGGGAGTTAGTCAGCTGTCATGGGCTGCTTCCTGGGGGTGGAGGCCTGGTTGAAGACTGGGCCGTGGGGACACTAAGCCCTGAAATCATCTCAAGATAACCTCAACATAATGCGTTTCTGTTGTCGTATTGGCATCCTTGGTGATATTTAGCGCCCTCTGATTATTCCGTGCATTTCATTGTGCTACGTAGCCTTCCCGGTTTGGTGCTTTCTTCTGATAATTACTTACTGCTTCTCCTCCTCTAACCCCTTCACTTTTTTTACTTCTATGGGTTGACCATTACATGCTCAGCAGTAGTGTCTGTTGAGAAGTGATACTGTAGACGATACTTTTAACCCTTTTCATCCTGTGGTAACTGAAATACAGTACTTGCAGTTTCTTATTTTTAGCAAGTGTAAGAGGGTCAAATTTTGCTGGTCTCCCAGCTGTATTGGGATTCCGACGAATGAATTCGCTAATACTGCTGGTAAGGAGGCCATTCATACTTGGAACAATTCCCGGAAAGGGTTTCCCTATTCAGATCTCTATCCGATTATTCATGCTGCTATCCGCAACCACTGACAAGGTCTTTGGATTGGCAGTACCAGTACAGTAATAAATTGTGTGCTCTTAAATATGACATTTTCCCCTTGGCCTTCGTCCTGCCACTGGAATAGGCACTGGGAGATGGCTTGGGTTAGGTTTACATACCAGTTTCACCCACCTGACTCATGGTCACTTAATGGAACAGCTTCCTGCTCCCTTATGTCCTAATAGTGTTGTCCTGCTTGCAGTCTTACATCACCTTGTCGATTGCTCTGATTTTTAAAGTGTTCAAGTGTGTGTTGCTTTCCTGATTTCTGAAGGAGGGGTTTGTCTCGTCAGCATCCCGACGGAGCCGGTCGGCCGAGCGGACAGCACGCTGGACTTGTGATCCTGTGGTCCCGGGTTCGATCCCGGGTGCCAGCGAGAAACAATGGGCAGAGTTTCTTTCACCCTTTGCCCCTGTAACCTAGCAGTAAAATAGGTACCTGGGTGTTAGTCAGCTGTCACGGGCTGCTTTCTGGGGGTGGAGGCCTGGTCGAGGACCGGGCCGCGGGGACACTAAAAGCCCCGAAATCATCTCAAGATAACCTCAAGATATCCTTGGTGATTCCAGTTCCTTTGATATCATTCACCTTATATCCTTCTGTTCTTATATTGGCATCTTGAAATATATTGAGTACATTTTGAATACCTTGCAACTTAGACAGTACTACATAGTCTTGTTAACTTGGTGCATTCTTTGGTAATTACTTATTTCTTGGTAAATATTGACCATGCAGTATTTGCACATGTGTCTTAGAGGTTCTAAGTTTTGCCAGGAGTGGTTGATGGCTGACAGTGTTACCATAGAGAAGGATCTGTTCTTCCATCACTTGTTACAAGTCTTGTATAGCATTTTAACTTTGATGAGGATTAATGTAAGTCTTATGTAACATTTTAACTTGTATGAATATAAGTCTTGTATAACAGATTTTAACTTGGATGTTTTTTATTTCAGGTTGCCAAGTACCCTCATATTGATGATTATCGCCGAACTGTAGTGGAGTTAGATGAAAAAGAATACCTTTCGTTACGTATTACTTTGTCAGAGATAAGGAATCACTATGCTACTCTCCATGACATGATTACTAAGAACATGGAGAAAATCAAGAAGCCACGGTCTACAAACTCTATTGAGGCCATGTACTAATATGTCCTTGTTATCTATGAACTTTCCAATTTACTATCTAATGTGTACTGTCCAAGAACTATCTTATGTAGCCAAGACAAGTACAAGAACTTACTGGTTATGGAAATCCCATTTGAATTAATATTTTTTTTATAATTCTTTCCAAATATCTGTTATCTTGAAAGGGATTAAACTTGTTATATTTGGATATTCATATTTAAATAAGTGATTATTGCACTGTTATTTATGAAAGTTGTAATGAAACACTGGCATATATGCTCGTATCATTGTTATTGGCATTTGTTTGATTTATATCCTATTGTAATTAATGGTATTAGCAGATTATAAGCTTTACTTGGCCATGCAACACTGGAACCACAAGAAATAACTAAAAGAATTGTTTGAATACCTCCAGTATTAATGTAATCTTTAATGGGCATTACTTTTAACACCAATTGCACACTATATTTTAAATATATGTATTGTGTACAAACAATTAGGTAAAGTACAGTATATACCATTATATTTAATTAGATATATTTCCTTGGGGAAAATATATTTTTTTATAATAATGGTACTTATTTACCAATTTCCATGAAAGTTGGAAGGGTTTTGCCAAAATAATTACAAATTTAGGAGCAGCTGTTATTAATATTGCAGTAAATTTTGTCTTTATCTGTAACATGATAAAATAGCACCTATCCTAATGTGCCCCCTTGAGCTTGATTTCTAGTTTATTAGACTGTTGGGAGCAGCGTCAACATATTCTGCCAGGGCAGATGATTGGGTTACGACCTCTTGAGAGGCCGAGGGTATTTTGAGGCCTCGTAATTCTAGGTGTCTAATTATTTTGATAAAAAGTACCATGCTCTGCAAAAGCTCCTCTTGCCATAAAAAATTACTAATTGGTTAAGCCCCTTTCTCTTTCCTTCTTTTGAGAGCAGATGTTGAAGGAAGAGATGACTGCCATCTGATGAACCTTACTTATTAAGGTCTTAGGCTTTTCAAAATTTGTTACATGATCTATTACAACTTGATCTGACTTATACACAAGCTGGTGATGGACTTATCATTTTGCAAAAGGCTGCAATGCCTAATGGTACAATATTGGTAAATTTAAATTTATTTTCTAAACTTTTTAATGTAATGAAAGTACTTCCTCCCCTCCCGAGAGATGATTATCTTTGCAGCGGTGCTTTATGTCATTTGACATGCTCTTAAAACTTACTTTTCCTGCTCTGATGTTACTGTGGTCGACTCACAGTAGCCCCAGGTGTCTTTTTTTTTTTTTTTAACCTTTCACATTCTGTAGACCAAAACCCAACATTGGCTCTTTCTCATTATCCCTAAAGCGCGGTTATTGTCGTGTGTTGATCCCCAGTGTAATGTGGTGGTGATCATATGCTGATTTTAGTTGTCTCCTGGTTTTGTTGTATAAATGTGAATGTGGTTCTAACACACATGGGTGTAAGAGTTAACCTAATCCCATTAAAAGTAATTGATTTCTATGCAATCAGGTTATCATGTACTATAGGCTTAGTTATCAAATCACAGTTTGGTGTTTCATGTTAGTGTGAAACTATTTGTTGATGACATTACCAGACAAAATAGCAGCAGAGGAGTGGGTTGCGAAGCACTCCATTTGAGCTATCAGGAACAGATATACTGTACATGGCAATTTTTAAGATAGCCACACTTGAGAAAAGGCAGCATTTCTCAACCTTTGTACCCTTGAAATAATTCCTGGTTGTACTTTAGATAAACATGGGATTTCTTTGTCAACTGAAAGGAGACTTTGCTATGTATACTGGTAAAGTGAGGAAAAAGTAAATGCAAAAATAACTCAAAAATACATTTGCATATGATTAGAATTAGGCTTTTTATCACATCTCTTAGGAACCACTAGTTACCTTGGGAGTCTGCAGAACCCCAGTTGAGAAACGCTGCTCTCGGGGTAAACCCTTGGCCTGTTCCCCTGTTTATAGGAGACAACACCCTTGGGTGCAGGAAAATAAATCATTGTCCTCATAATATTGTTAAAATGCATTCCCTGATCACACGAAATGTGAGTTTTTTTTTTTTTTTTATCTTTGCCGTGGCAATATGATCATGAAGAAAGTGCACAGGGCTAAGAGTGGAGTGTTAGTTGCCACAAAGATGTTTTTATTTATTTCAATGTCTGATAATTTTTTTTTGTTTTTTTTCCAGTAATATTTAATAATGTGTCATTTTAAAATTTTTATAATAAAATGTGTGGAACATAAGAATGCTCAAATATATTGTGTTACTAATTTGCATTCCATGTTATATTAATAGAAAAATAAAATATTGTTTTTTGCTGTTATTACACTATATATATATATATATATATATATATATATATATATATATATATATATATATATATATATATATATATATATATATAATATAATATAATATATAATTATGTACATATTTTATATTATATATTTTATATTATATATTACATATTATATATATATATATATATATATATATATATATATATATATATATATATATATATATATATAATATAATATAATATAATATAATTATGTACATATTTTCATGTACAGTACAGGTTTTCATGTACATGTGAGGCAAGGCTGAACACTGATATCTTCTTGAGGTTATCTTGAGATGATTTCAGGGTTTAGCGTTCCTGCAGCCTAGTCCTCGACCAGGCCTCCTTTTGGTTACACATCCCTAGGAAGCAGCCCGTAGCAGCTGTCTTAACTCCCAGGTACCTCTTTACTGCTAGGTGATCAGGTGCATCAGGGTGCAAGAAACTGACCACTTGTTTCCATCTCCACCGGGGATCGAACCCGGAACTTCAGGGACTACGAATCCGAAGCGCTGTCCACTCAGCTGGCAGGGCCCCTCCCTGGTTACAAGATTATTGCACACCATGAAGCATTTCTGGTGAGTAATAATCTCGTAACCAGTGATCAGTGTTCGTAACTAGTGATCAGTGTTCGGCACCAAGTTGTAACTACACATTGGATATATTATATATTCTTTGTATTTTTTAATGTAGTTACTGTGGTTTTTCCAGTGCAATGATGCATTGGTGTGTCAGTAATAATATTTGTATCACAACGAATAGAACATAAGTACACTCATATATTTGTGTCTTTAATATGCACAAGATATGTTTTTAGACCAAAAAACACTTTTCCTGTTATTACGTATACACGTTATATATATACAAATTTGATACTCCATGATGAACCACTAAGCAGTTCTGATGGGTGTGATAATTTGATAATCCAAGTCCCCTCAGTGCCTTGCTGTGGTGAGGGGGCTCTTGTGCTATGACAGAATGGGAGAGGTGGCTTTTTCTCCCCTCTCCTGCCTACTGTGGCTGTGCATAAGCAAAATTCGTTCGTTCATGTCCCCTGTGAATGGAGACCCGTACATTCCCTGATGTTCCTTCATCTAGGAGTTGAGCCTTCCCAGCGGTTGCGTCCTCTCTTGTGGGGAGCAGTAACATGCTGCTTTGGTGGAGGGACAAAGTGGTAGGTTGAATGAAGCCCAGCTGAACCAATGGGCTCATCTGGTTAGCCCTGCCTAGCTAAACATCGGGTCAAGTGGGCATTGTGGGGTTGGTATCTCTCTCAGTCCCAGGGATCTCATTCGCCCCCCTCAATGGTTAATCCCTGTGGATCCATGCCCATGTGCTTGTGTCTTCCCTTGTTGGGCTCCATGGTGGGTGGGGTGGCACTGGAGAGCAAAGTTTTTTATATGTCCACATTTCCCCTTCTCAGACCTGTGAGGTGGGCAACCAGGCCCCTAAATCAGATCGTTTTGAAAGCTCGGTCTCAATAGCTCTGAGTTTGTCAAGACCAGATAAGGCTATGTCGTAAGACTACCCATTTGAATCATCTCTCCTACTCTGCCACTTCCTAGGGGAAGGGGAGACAATGTCCTTGGGGGACAGACTAGCGTTCCTGGTAATGTTTACCATGTTGCCTGGAGTGACTAGTTTCCTAGTGGTTACTACAACACTTTTTGCTTCCTTCCTCTTGGGACGTCCGAAGCATTGTACCCACTGTCGAGTTTGAACGTTTACACTGGCTACTAGGTTTTAAAACCTGTTTGTCTCTGCTACGTTGCCCAAATACTTCGATTTATCCCGTGATGACCATTCCCACCCTGATGACTTGCATACATTGCAGATAGACACGTTGATTTTGTAGATGCTTGGGTTCAGTTTTCTCTTTCCTGGACTGGAACCTGCATTGTCGAGGCCCCCCCTAAGGAGGGGGCCACATTCACTAATGCTCTCTCACATTAGTCAAGCCCCAGTTTAGGTCTCAAAAAACACCCAGCTGAATGCCAGCATCAGCACTATCCTTCCACTATTTTGAGAGGAGGGGGGGGGGGATAGAGACTTTAGGGACTGCCATGAGGATGTTAAATATATCCGAGACTCTGGGTCGTGCTGTACTTCAGGCTGACACATTTACCGAGCCTCCTTCAAGGTCATTCTCATTCCCTTAAGGTCGTGAAATTAACTTGACTGTTGAACCCTTCCATACTTGGTAATTCTTGCTGGTGACAAGTGCTCTCAAGAATACATTCATTTTCCATGCCTCTGCAATAGGTGTTGGAAATTTGGGCATGGGCATCATGGTGAGATGTCTTTCTGTCCCATATGTGGTTCCTTTGACCATTCTAAGCCAGACTGTTCTTGTACTCACTGCATCAATAGCAGAGAAGCCTCCCAGTTTTTTCATACTCGTGTCTTCATTATAAGTTTGAACATTCTGTTCCTTTGACATAAAAATCACTTTTCTTTCCTTGAAGCAAGGTACCAGGTCCTTCATTTTTCCTCCTCCTGGTATGACCTAAGTTCGTGCATTACATTGTGTTCCTCTGCCTCACCTCCTCGAGTCCACAATTGTTTCCGTGCTGTGGATCCCAACACATCCACAGACTCCATCTTTCCCCGCTCTCCTACACACTGAGCCCTTGCTTATTCCTCCAGTGCCACTGACTAATGTTTACCCGTTGATGGGATTCTGGGAGTTCTTCTACTCCCCAAGCCCGGCCCGAGGCCAGGCTTGACTTGTGAGAGTTTGGTCCACCAGGCTGTTGCTTGGAGCGGCTCGCAGGCTCACATATCCACCACAGCCCGGTTGGTCTTGCACTCCTTGGAGGAAATAATCTAGTTTCCTCTTGAAGATGTCCACGGTTGTTCCGGCAATATTTCTTATGCTCGCTGGGAGGACGTTGAACAACCGTGGACCTCTGATGTTTATACCCAGTCTGCCCAGTTTTGTCCTGCCTGTCACTTTTCCTGTCGCTATTCTGCCTTTTCAGTCTTCTTTGCCCACTGTAGGCTCCTCTGACTCTTCTTCCTGTCTTCATAATCATCCCATCTATTGTTTGGCCCTTCCCCAGCGTGTGATCGTTCGGGCCGATATCCACTTTCCCCACCTGAGACAATTGCAGCTATCTCATAATGTCTTGATGCAACCATTCTTATGTCTGTCAGAAAGGCAAACCTGGTTCCTTCCCCTCTACCTCCCCGGCAGGTAAGACGGCATTAGTCCTCACTCCTTCCTCGTCCCTCCGTTTACTCTTAGCATCTCTCTAGTGGAACTACCTAATCCTGCTACAGGTGGTCCCTTGTTCCCTCGTTTGATGCTGCCCCTTCTCCAGTGTTTACTCTTCGGCCCCTCTCTTTTCAGCCCGTAGTGAGGGGGGGGGGGCTTGGTGGGCGGCTGCCGGAGTGTGATGCTCCATGGGATATTCCTCTGTCCTTTTGAAGCCTTATGCTCCTGCTGCCGTCTTCACAAATTGTGCTGCAAGTCCTTTCCTCTTTCCTTTTCCTTATGTTTCATTTTTCTACCCCCTCTTCTTTCTAATTGTCATTTCCTGCCGACCTTTTGCCAGTCTTGATTATTCTTTCAGACATCTGTTTAGACGTCCGGGTTTAGGGGGAGGCGCGCGCACACCCGTAGAACTATAGTACCCGTCATTACGAGCGAGGGGACGCTTTTATTGTCAATCCTTTCGTTGCTGAACCCGATCTCGACGGACTGATGGTTCTTAAGGTGGCGATTGTGGGGCATATACTCACGATGATGGTTGATCTCAACCATCTGGATTCTACACCTGACGATTTCTCCCTCCACAAACACCTTGTTGATTCAGTAGATGCCTCTGTTACTTCTAACCCCCACCTGTTTCGGTACACGTGTCGTCGCTGCTGCTCCTCAGGATGCAGCTACCCCGCTTAGCTGCATTGGAGAAACCCCTGTTCGAGTCTTAAAAACGCTTTGTTAAATGCCAGTGTTGGCACTATTCTCCTCCCACACCATGTTGCAACTGGTGTTCGGGACCTCAATGACTGCCATGAGGATATTAAACATATCCTTGAAGTCCAAGGCCATCCTGTCCTCCAGGTGGATACGTTCACTCGACCCCCTCATGGTCGTCGCCGTCAGCCCCTTCGAGTTTTGAAAATTACCTTCGAGAGTAGGACCCTTCCGCCCTCTAATTCTTGTTGGTGCTAGTTGCTCCGTTCAGGAGTACATTCCCTCTCCTAGACTTTGCAATAAGTGCTGGAAGTCCGGGCAAGGTGCCCTCAAATGCACCAGTACTGTGTATCTATGCCCCATGTGTGGGGACGAAGGTCACTCCAAGACAAAGTGCTCTTCTCCCCAGGTTCCCTGCCTCAATTGTGGTGAGGCCCACCCTACCTTCTCCCGCGCGTGTATACACTTCTGTAGTTCCTGTTCCCTTTCACCCCCTCCCTCTTTCTGTCCGGTTGTCTCGCATACAAAATTCCCTTTCGGTTAGTATTACCAATATTTCTCCTTGTGTTCCGTCCTTGCCCCCGTGGAGGGTCCCCCGTCCTAAATTCTGTAAAACCGTGACCCACATCACTAAAGTTTTTATATCTCCTACAGTTCTGTGAACACCTTTTCGCCTTTTCCTTGAACAATTTTCTTCACACTCCCGTTCCATTTCCATTTTCACCGATGGGTCTTAAGTCTGTAGACGGTATAGTTTACTGTTTTTCCTGACCACGCCTATATGTGTCTCCTGCCTCCGGAGACTAGCATCTTCACGGCAGAACTATGCTGTTCTCTATGCACTTCGTCTCCTGCTTTCTCGTTGTTAATCCTCCTTTGTGTTTTTAGTTGACTCGCGGTGCCCTCATGGCTCTGGAGTCCTTTAATACAGTCCATCCGGTAGTAGTCGAGATTCAACATTGGCTGTTTCTTATCTCCAGTAGAT